AAGAATCGATGGAACTGATGAAACAACCAAGAACAACGGGAGAACGACCCGAAGACCGGAGTAAGTTCCGTCTTTGAGGGTACTATCCACCACTTTTGGGGTCCAATAGTTATTGTATATTATATAGTAACAAGAAGCTACTAGTAACTTGTAACAAAGGGCATCGCTACTAGCAGCAAGAAGCTACTAGCAGCTCCTGGCCTTACTACTAGTAACAAGAAGCTACTGGTGCTGTTACTGGTATTTACAAGGCCAGAATTCTTGACGGGCAATGGCCTGCATGCACTCTGTGCACCAATTCATATCCTTTCAATTGTTCAATGTTGAGCGTTTTGATCAACGTCTTTACGTCCTTATCTTTTGGGACGCCCTGTAACTATAGTTTAAACAGACTTTGAGCAACGTGATGAACCACCAATTCGCTCCATAGTAAAACCACCAATTCGCTCCAACTTCCAACCCAAACACTTCAGAACTAACACTGGATCCCCCATGGTCATGTGAATTGGAGATCTTCTCGACGACACGACGAGAATACCTTAATTTCTTCGACCGTGTTGCGACGCACTCCAACGCGCAGAAAGGCCTGTCACTCCCGTGAAGATGAGCACATATGACATCCGATCGATCCATGGAAGATTCCAAAGATTCACCAGCGCTCCCACACTAAAGCCCAGCACAGCAGCGACAGCCATGCGCTGCATTGCGCATCGAAGTCCAGGAAGATTGGAATTCTTGGCAATGAGAATCCTTTTGCCTTGCTGCGGTGCAATATCAAGACTGCACCAATATGGCTGCAGCGAAATTGTTGGTTTCCAATAATTACAAAACACGATTTCGCCCACTGGCGTACCTGATGTTCACCCTGGACCTTTCAACAGAAAATGGCACCAATCTGACCCAGTTGCCCTCCTCTTGTGCCAAATAAGCCTCGTAGCAGCACCAAAGCCTGGTGTAGACACTCCTGTTTTTGCAGCGGGTGCCAAGAAATGCAAGGACTCTGACCCATTCTGAAAAATTGTTGTGCATGGTGATGGTGATGTTGATGGCGTGGGAGCTGACCCAGTGGGGCGATTTAAGCAATGGCTCCCTAAAGCAAATACGAACAAGTGAAAGCAGCAAGGTGCAACCCATGACTAATGCCTGAAGACTGAAATGTGTCAAAAGGACACAGAACTGATCGAGCATCATTCACAACTGGATGGACTCACATAACTCTGCAACCTTTGGGACAGAGCCGCCTGGCTCCACCTTTTTTGTTGTTCCCCACCTGTGCTGATTGGGCACCACCAAGACTATCTGCGAGGCTCTTAAGGCCAAGGCAAAAGGTGAAGCGCTCGGGCGTTGGACCAAGCCGGCAATATCCAGGTTTTGGGGATTCGCCAGCATGCAGCACCAAACCTGGTGCACTTACACAGGGAGGGTACAATCATGTGGGCACATCGCTTTTGAGGCTTTGAGGATACAATACATATGGATATGTGATGCATATTGTGTGTATACTTATATCATGACTCCCGAAGGCCTCTAATGTCAAGCGATATACCTAGAACCTGAGTGAGCTCTATTTAAAACATTGGACCGCCAATATCCCAACGTCGCTCAAAACATGGTCTTTCCCTATCAAAGCAAAGGTCGAGATGGGTTCTAGGTAGAACGGTGTACTCTATAGGTAGATACCCGGGTATCATGATTCTATCAAAAGAAGGTTGCCGACCCCCAGTTCTTCTCCATTATATACATTGCTTTTCTTGATACTTGGGACCCGGCATTTTCTACAGGATTCACAGGGGGATTATATATATATATAGATGTCATTTAAGTGAATAGCCTATTGCATTGTGCCACCAACTTGGCCATCCAAGGGTGGGTTGCCTAAGGAATGCAATGATGGCAAAAGAAGCAGCTATAGAGTGGGAGAGGTACATGACATACAATCCAAACCAAGTGTTTGGTACCGAAGAATAAAACATACATACATACATACATACATACATACATACATACATACATACA